CATCGAGAACACTTATGCCTCACGAGTATTATTTAGTTACCTAAGAAAATGACGAAAATCGCAAAGGAGGCAACTCCGTGGATGCTATATTTTGTAACTGAAATTAAGAAATCGATTCGTCTTAACAATGCCTCGATTCTCACAGGACTTCAACAGGACTTTCGTCGGAAAAAGCTATCTCCTCTCTAAGCAGCATCGCGAGATTCCCGAAATCAAAAGAATGATTGTGTCACTTACTACTTGCTTCTACCGTTGGTCTGGTTTAAAAGATTTTCCATACCGTTTAAAATGTTTCAAGTTCATTCGCTTAATAATGGAGGTCGAACAAATGCCCTTTGGATATTTGCAAAGTCGTCCACGAGCCGGGATCAGTCCTGGGCACTAGGGGATGCCACAAATGTTTCTTCCGCTGTACCACTGGACTGATGCACAGCAGATGAATTAAAAAATGATAGAATAAGCATTAAACGTTTTACAGACGACTACTGCGTTGGATTTTCCGCTATCAAATCACCTCCCCCCAAACGGACAAGGAGTTTGATAAATTTATTGGATTAATATACGAAGACGAAACCTCTGTGGCATGCTGTGGACCTCTTCAGTAATTCTTAAAGGCGGAGAAGGAGATAGGACATCCAGGAATTGAGATAAATAATTGGATAAAACTTCCGCATCATACATCCGAAGACAGAAATTCGGCAAAATCAGGAATGTAGACGATAATTAGAACAAATGCAAATACGGTTTTAGTAACTGTATATGCCTCTGGGAAAAATGACAGTTCGTCTACTGACCTAATCACAACCGAGAAATGGTCTCATGTGCGAGAAAAGAACGATCGAAAGGGACCTCAGAAAACGAAGAAACTTCTCGGATCTTCCTGAAAAGCCCAAGTAGTCCAGAGTGTCAGTATTAGAAAGCAGGGTCAACACACAATACAGGAAAATACCTCACTTCAAAGGAGATGACACATGACCAAGAAGCCTCGGTAGGCGAGGAACTCTGTGGCAGCTATATCACCACAAGTGTCTCCGAATCGAACGATGATGACAACAGAAATTGGCGTCATTTAGAATCTGCGTATAAAAATATACGTCAGGACCCTCTGCTTGATCACTGTGAATGCGTCACCGTAAAGGGTATGTCTAAACCTGATTCGGACATCCCAAAGAACGGAATAAACGTGGACAGTGAATTGTTCCAGCAATATCGCAAATCCCTTTCCAAAGAGAAAAAAACGTCACCGTCTCAAAAACTTTCAGGATAGGACAAAAAAAGGATTCAAAAGATAGGTTGAGACAACACAGGCCATTAAATATTGTTCTCTAAAATGAGGACCAAGCGCTGTTGCTGCTGAAGAGGAGGAGGAGGAGGAGGAGGAGGAGGAGGAGGAGCGATCTATGTCAAAAGAGGAATCATCGCGTCAGAACGCAAAAATGATTGCTCCCCTAACTGTGAAGCAATGGGTTGAAGGAGGCGTGGCACACGTAATCTGAATTTCCTGATTATATACTGGCCGCCCAATCAAACTCCGGATATTAACGGGGCGATGTTCGGGTTGGTTAAAGAGGTGACGCAAAACCAAGAGACACTGATAGCCGGCGACTTGAACGCAGCCATGATTGACTGGAACGACTCATTAGTAAAGAGTTTGCGTAACCTCCTTTATTCCAAGCCCTTAAAACCAACAACTGGTCCCTTCCTCCTCACGTTTCCATCCAGAAACAGAGAGGCTCAAAGAGCAAACTAAACAGCCAGTTAGTGCTGGCGGACTTAGGTCCATAGCACCACTCGATAAGAGTGGCCTAGTTATGCTGGTGTGGGAATATTGATAACACGATTAACAAATGGAGACGACTGAACCTTGGCTGATTTTCGCGCCGGGAGATTTTGCTGATATGAGAAGTGAATTATCGGTAGTGAACTGGAACGACGTTCTTACCGAACATCTAAGTGTTGACTGGAACACTTTCAAAGGAGTTATATGTAACCTTGTGCATCTAAATTGTCCGATAATGACAGTCTACAATGCAAACCATCCTGTCTGCTTAACATGAGATATATGGAAGGAGATAAACCGGAAGATTAAACTTTGGAGAACGTATGTAACAATAAAACAACTTTTACATTATAAGCAGTTCTGCCGAAAGCGAAATGAAATAAGGTTAAATGTTCGCAGGTCGCGCAAGGAATATTAAGCGCAAGTTATGGAACGGGCCGTGCATAAGCTAGACTTGCTCTCCAGCTACATCAACGGAAGGTAAAAACGAAGAAACGGTCCCAGTGTTAAAAGGAGAAAATAATGAGGATGTTATCAAAATGACGCTAAGACAGAACATCTTAGCCGGCTTTTCGCAGCCATTTTCACCGATGAAACGGACTTTGACGAGGCTGGGTTGCCTAATGCAACAACTAACGAAATGGCGGAAAGCATCGTCTTCACATAAGAAGATGTGAGAAAGGAACTTTAGCGCCTAAGTAATCTAAGTCTCCGGGTCCTGACCAGATTCCTGCAAAAGTTCTAGAGGAGCTGGCTTGCCAACTCGCTTGACCGCTTTCGGAATTTCCCATTCGTTCCTTGACCGAGGTCCTCTCCCCTCTGAGTGGAAGATTACGAATATATATCCCATTTACAAGAGTGGATCCAGAACAAGTACAAACGATTATCAGCAGGTGAGCCTAACGCGTATTTGTTGCATAGGTATGGAAAGAATAGTCAAAAAAGATATTATAAAGTTTTCAGAAGAAAAGGATTTCGTTGATATTTCCCACCATGACTTTTGGAGAATCACTCCTGTTTAAAAAACATGCTCTACTCAATGGAGCAGTGATCCCGCTTATTAGATGGAGACACAGGAGTCGATGTCGTTTACCTCGACCTAAGAAAAGCCTTTAATAGTGCTCCGCACTGCCGATTGCTCTACAAAGTCCGAAAATCTGGGATGAGGGGAACCTACTAAACTGGGTAAAGGATTTCTTGACCGGCCAATCGCAGTCTGTGTAAATTGGCAGTACGAAGTCGGTGCCAGTGTCAGATGTGAGTGGGGTACCTCGGGACTCCGTACTCGGACCAGTACTGTTTTTAAATTATGTCAATGACTATATGGATGGACTTGACTGCATTGGCGTCATATTTGCTGATGACATAAAATTATGGCGAGCAATCGACTACGAAAACGATAAATGGACCCTGCAAGAAGGACTTAACCGCCTATATGAATGGTTTGAAGGATGGCTGCTAAAGATTGACTTTGAGAAGTGTGTCGCATTGTGAATCGAAACCATGAAGAGAGCAAATGGAGAAGGTCACCACTGCCTCATTGACAGAAGGCGTCTTTAAAATTTAAGCGACCAGGAAAGACCTTGGGATCAGCATTTTGTCCTCTCTTAAGCCCTCTTTTCAACGTGCTAGGACGCTCAAAGGGCAAACGCTGTTCTCCTCGCTATCAAAATAACCTTATTAGATACAGACAAAGAGCAGTTTGGAGAAGTATACGGAATCGTTATTTGCTTGGAACTGCAACATGGAATACAGGCATGGCGTCTCTGTCTGAAAAAGACTTGTAATTTGCTGACAAGAGTTCGGAGGAGAGCGGCCAAAATTGGGAAAGTCCTCAGGACTTTATCCTAGGGCTGTAGACCTGATGAGCTTAACCTTTTTCCTCTTGATTAAAGGCAGATCTGAGGGAGTCCCACACAGGCTTACCGGATTGTTAGGAATCCTTAATGTGCGCTGCACTTCTGTGATTCCTTCGTCTTGGCCAGAATAACAAACCTGCGTGGGACCTCCCTAAAACCTCGAGGAAGTCTACTCCACCTAAATGTTCTCAGGCACTCGTTTTCACAATACACCTTCGGTGCCTGGAACGGGCTTACTCAGAAAGTGACAATGGCGGATTGGATGTATATATGATTGAAAAATACCGCTTGACTGACAAAACAGCTCTGTTGTGCCAAACCAACTCTTTGGGCACACCCACCGATGATGCGGATGATTGTCATTTCATTTTATCATTACCATGCACAAGAGTGTGCTCCGGGTTTCAGTCCCGCAACTTCAAAAGCCATATTCTGTAAAATGTATCCGTTATTGACAAAATTTTACAAACATGTCTATTTGGTTCAAAATACTGTATGTACTGTTTTCAATAGTGCCTTCAAAGGCACTGTATACTACCCTTAAATAAACATATTTAAAGGAAAGCGGCAGTTACACATCAAGATAAAATTCTTGAAAGTCATTCAGAAAGCAAGTGCCTCCCAGTGGGTTTGTGCTGCCCGCTTCCTCAACCGACTCTCTGCCAAGTGTTTGGCCACACACGTAAAAATCGAGCCGCAGAAACTTCTGAACTCAATACAGGCATTTGCCTTTCGAGCAAATCATCTTCCGCAGCATATGATATTGATGCGGCCGAGCGCTGAGGCTCATCAACGGCGACATAGTAAGCCTACATGTCTCGCTTAATGTGCTCACATATAGTGCCCCAGTGGTATCCATATTAGTTGCGCTTCATATTTCCTTCCATTGACAACAAAAAAGTGGTGTAGTGTGAGTATACATGAAGCATAAACTTGCAGACTGTCTCGAGATTTGCCATTCACTGCTTAAACCTGACTGGTCCCTCAGAGCTGAAAAACTAAACAATAATCCCGATAACCTCAGTAATCCCGATCGCTTGACATAGTCCTACTAGGAGTAAAAATTCATAGCTCAGATTCCGAACCGGAGCTCATTTTAATAGGAATGTGGTAGGATATTTTGTGGTCACTAATTACCGCATAAATGTTACACTTCCACCTCTCAGTGACTGACCTTAAAAGCTACAACATTTAGCTTTACTCGATATTCTGACAGTCATTTGTAGGAAGGGAGCCAACACTTAAGTACTTTGGAGACACAAACTTGAACATTTAAAACCGCGAGCTTCATTAACTTCGAACTCTCGGGATTTGATGGCGGGCTACTTGAGTCGGTCTTCTGGTACACGTGACGGTCGAAGATGGTTTGTCAATCGCTTTATTTACTGTCGAAATTGAGACTGACAAGCAGAATCAAGATCTGAGTAATGCCGTCCAAAAAGGTCGCAGTGTTAATGAGGCGGAAAACCTTATCCCCGGTGTCCCTGAGTGCTATAATTACGGCATTTATCTGGACGATGGATGTGATTACCTCAAGTACTTGAAGTCAATGAAAGAGTTTGTCGAAGATCCAGAATATGTGAGTGTCTGTTGTTTACGACTTGGGTTCCGTGTATATTGTGAAACGCATAGACTTCCGAGAATGACACAATATATGAGCAATGGCGCGCGGTCTATCACCTGTCCTTAGTAGCAAACTATACCGAGACGATATCAAGTAGATATCTATCTTTCGAGACATATTCGGTACATGCCGATTTTGTCTGCCGTCCAGATATCCAGTAGATGTCTATTTTACGAGATACTCCGGAAATGGCGATAGCGAGACCTTAGGCACTGCACACGCTGCGTTTACTTAACCCAGTACCCGTACATTATTCTTTCGCTTTCAAATTACATTTGTCATCCCATTCCTGTCCTACTAAGTCCGTTACTGTACGCCTTGGTTGAATGACCAAATTGACGCGACTATGCCAACAGTGGTCAATTACCTTGGAATATTTTTATTGAATTAAACAATTTTGAAAGATTAAATATATTGGTGGCACTTGCGAGGATGCAGGACGATCTCCTGCCGAACTACCCGTATTGTTTTCAGTAGGATAGGATTAATCTTATAAAACTTGAAGTCCACTTACCCGTCCAGTTATTCCAGTCACTGTCCTTTTGAATCCGTTGAACGTAATTGTCTAATGACCTTTTGAGTCGGTCCGTAAACTCAGGCTCCAGATCGGATAGCTCCGCAGCGCCATTACTGTTCTAAGCAGCGAAAATATCTACATATGTAGACAGTGGGACACTGGATCGAAACACACCTAATATGACCATTAACCTCCGATTGAGGCTGTCTTTTAGTTTACGCCCCATAAAATTCACGTGGAGGCTAATCTCGTCCGCAAAACTCGCAAGGAAGATGCGCTTAACGGAGTCGTCTAAGTTGTTTTCATCTAAGCACGTGAGGAATGAGACCTGATGCCCTGTATAGTGACAAAACGGACAGCTACCAGTTGACTCCGTATTCCAGTGTCCTCAAGTAAGGCATTCCAATGGCGGAATTCCGCTGACGTCCTCATCGGCGTTTTAGCGGGTTCTTCGGCAGCGGGGTTACCAAGTGACCGGCGGGTTGTCGTTGAGTACCCCGCGCCTCCAATTCGCGTATGCGATTATGTAACCGACGGTTACTGTCAACAAGCACGTCTAATTTCCTAGACATGCACTCTGTGTGTTCGATTAGCAGGGCCGCGACCATGTCAAAGTTATCCGACCGGTCACTGGACAGCGGTTCGCGCAAATCCATGGGATCTCAGTTGGAAGTAGGTTTATTACCCTCAACACGCAGTGGTTCCCATGATAGTGGGGTGTCGTTGGAGTCATTCGCATCTTCATTGTTGTCATTTATTTTCAAGGAGTCAGGTAGTGTAACTTACAGGCGAATATATCCATTCTCCACTGAAGTAGTACAATGCTTTATTCAGAACAGACTTACGTTCCCGCGGAGGATTTTTGCGAGTTGTCTGGCTCAGCAGTCTCTACAAACGCACAGGAGACAGTTAAATGAATGTTAATTTTGATAGTATGTGTACTGCGTGTTTGTAGGGCTCACGAGCACTGTTCGCAAGGACGAAAGGACAGTAAGTGGCCTCCTAAAAACTATTAGTTGGTCCTACTAAGACGCAACGAGTTCCTTGTGGGAAGCAGGTAAACTCAATGAATGTATTTGGTTAAGGTGCACAGCTGATAGCACTGTCCAGCTCAACCGTATACACCTTTACCAAAGGCGATTGTTTTGGATGGTCAAACTAATCTGAAGTGTTTAGGAACTCATGTGCTGATGCGTCCAACGAGCAGTTGTCATCAATCCTTTTGTTCAGACAAACTAAAGGTTCTCCTGCTGGGCTGTTTTAATACCTATTCCACATTAAAACCTGATGAATCCCACCGCCAGTGTTAAAATAACAGCAAACTACATCGAATCGATAGATATATCGGTCTGCATTCTCGGCCTAAATGAGCTACCTCGGCGAGTATGAGCCTCTAGGTGTCACGTGGACTACACTAATTTGCTTAGCAGGCGTTGCCTGCGGCACTAGGAAATTGTATTAAATTCTTCTCGCCCAAGCGAACTGTTTGAAGCCTCTGTGCTGTCGGCACGAGTCATACGCCAGATCAAGAAGCAAATTGATTTGACAACGCCATTCGGGACCTGTAGCCAACGGCTAGGCATCCCAAGAAATATAAGTTGAAGTCAAAGGCGTTCTTTGGGAAGAAGGAACTTTATTGCGTAAATTTTCGACGCCGGTTCCCCGAGTCGTCGTCAGACGCAGACTGAGGGTAAATGTGTCGATAACAGTTAACATTTGGCAGTGCGCCTGAAAAATTTATAATCATGGGCTTTTGCTCCCGTGAACGGCCGCTATCTGTGTCATTCTCTCCGGATTGGCTCTCGTCTCTTCGATTTCTCCTTGGGACTTTTGTACGCGGCGTCCAACTCGATATGACGGTTGATGCACGATTCATCCGAGTGCATCACCTCAAGGAAATCTCGGCCTTTCTTGAAAGGGCAGGCACCGACAATCCGTGTTCTGTCCTAAGCAAACGTGTGCCTTGTGTCCAGGGTATGCATGGCTACTTGAGACAGGTGATCTCGCCTCTTTACTGCAAGTTGGTGTTCGTGAATGCGTGTAGAGGCTGATTTTCCTGTTTGACCACAATAAACTGCACCACAGACCTCACACGGGATCTTGTAGACGACTTCCTTTCTATCCAAATAGCCGACTCTGTCTTTAGGGTGTACTATCTGAGTACGTAGTGTAGTCGTTGGTCTGTGTGCCATCAGAATTTGGTGCCTCTTTAGGTGCCTTTCCACGAACCCAGACACGTTTTTCATGTAATGGAGAGTATGCCGTTTATTTGCCTTGGGTGCCTGACTGGAAGTTCTTCGTTCCGTTTCTTTTGATTCTTCCTGTGTCATGCATCGGCGCACAAAATCCTTGGGGTACCAATTTCGGGAAAATAATTCACACAAGTAACTTAGTTCGGCTCGGTAGCCTTCATTGTCCGAGCAGTGTTTTTGTCCGATTAATCAGGCATTTGACCGTACTCCGTTTGTGGAAAATGGGGTGGTTGCTCTCGTAGTGTAGAATGACATCCGCATAAGTCTCTTTGCCGTACACCGATGTGCGCAATGTTCCATCAGTCTTCTGCTACACGGGAACATCTAAGGAGAGGAGTTTTTGTCAACTTCTTTCGCAAGTGTGAATTTAATTTCCGTCATTACTGAGTTGATAGTCTTGTGGCTGCGGTACGTGGACGGCACCCAAGCCAAATAAATGGCGTACTCTCCCTTACACAAGAAACGCCAAGTCAGCGAGGAGGGACAATAAATAATGCGGGTAGATTGGTACAGTACAGTTTCGGGCTTATTCTGCCTTCATTCAACCAATCATAACCCTGACCAGCAGCGGGGACCAGAAACACAAACATGCGCACAGGCCCATTTGACGCGGTTGGTCCACCACTGGGGTCTACCAGATGGGTCATAGGCACTTCGTCAAACCGAAGTTTTGCTACGAGCTGGGCGGCAGGACAAGTGTGCAATTCGCAAAAGTTTGGTGCGATAATAGTTATCATTTTTACACATATGCCGAAAAAAGAAAATATCACCAAAATCCGTCAAAGTGAAGTCGGCCAAATCCAGGGTTATGATTGGCTGAATGAATACTGTCTACAGCCTGCTAAACCGAGCTAAAACACACTGCTCTGATGAAGAAAGTTATCAAGCAGAAATGAAATACCTTTTCAAATTATTTTCCCACAACAGGTACCCGCGCGACTTTGTGCGTCATTGCATGAAACATGACTTGGTGTTCACACCAAAGCCGTTTTGATACCAAGTCAGTAGGTTCCCACAGTCACCCTGAAAGCCCGTGTTGGTGAGGAATTGCCAGTTCTGACAAGCGGAGCCCAGCGACCTTTCACTATTGTCACATTGAGAGACAAGTACAAAACGATCCCTTAGACGGTTATTTGAAGGGTCGCCAAACCTCATCGGCCATTCCACTCACCAGCGATGGAGCTTATAAACCGGTTCTTGCTGCAGCTAGTAAAACGCATTTATCGTGCTGGCCGACAGATGGTGCTTGCGCATAGATGAGAATGCCGTAGATGCTGACAAAGTGCTCCCTTGGGTCGTACGTACTCCAACCCGTTCCTGACGGGTGCGACGAGGTACATATTTCGCCTCTTCTGAAGGGACGACCTCATTTGACAGAAGCGTCGCTTAAGTTGTCGTTACAGTGGGAAGAATTGCAGTTCGTTGGGGGAATCCTGTGTCCCGGGGGTTCGGATATTGGTATTAGATTCTGAGCAGACAGCAGGCCTCTACTTTTTATTGGTGAAGACTACGTATTGAGTACAAGGACACAGGAACGTTCGCATACTCTGACATCTAGTACTGAGGGTCCTACTTCGACGAAGTTATCCAGCTCGCGTACTATCCGCCCACACCACTGGAACAGGACTGTGACGGGCTCCGGTTTCCGGGGACGCCGTAACGTGTATCGCAATACCATAATCAGACATTTCCTTAAGATTTCTTAATAATTTTGCGCATTGGCGGATTCTCGATGGTTGCTCAGATTAGTTTTACAAGATTGTTTGCTCTCCCTCCTTGACTAAACCGAATCTAACCACAAAGCAACGACGGTAGTCGAAATTTGTCGCGGGCTCATGATCGCCATGCCATCGTTGTCACTGACCTTGACGGTATTTTATGAGGTAACCTCCCGGCCCGCCGTGCGCTGATAGTGCCTTCCTGCAACTTATTAATCAGAGCCGAGAGTCCACTTATTCTCCCCTAGTAGTCCCCACCGACGGCCGCTTTTTATCTATTGTGGACGCATCGGATTGCCAGCACTGACTGTTAGACCGTACACCGCGATAACTGTAACTATGACACATGTCCGCACCATAAAGCTGCATATATGTTATCCTAAGTGACGCCTCTTCCTACCGCCCAATGTACTTTGTGTCCTGTTCACTCGAAGCGACGACTCCATGTCGCCCAGAGTCTTTGATAGGGATGAAATAATTTCTCAACGCCTGAAGCTTTGATGCTGCATAATGTTATAATGGCTTGTATAACGCAATGCATGCCTGGTTGGTGTCTTGGTTGTCGGATCGCCAGGAAAGCTCTCCCACCCCAGCAAGCGATACGCACTTCCCTTCCTTCCGGCGCAAACAGCTTACACACCTGTCATCCGGCTTAATGGTTAAGATCCAGACCATAGAAATTCGTGACAAAGAAGCTTAAATTACATCATTATCCAGAGACTTGGTGTAAATGTAGTCTACTTGCATTTTGGTGGATGGCCGCCCCGCAACACAGTTCAGTCAGAGTATCGGGTGTCTATTCTCCCCATCCAGATGTTACTACTGCCACTGGTCCGTGGCTGCTTTTTGTCAGGCGTGGGTTTGTCACTCTTTTTTGTTGACTTTTCTGAACACCGTTCTCCGTGGCCGCACCTACTAATCAAGGGCGTTCACCGTCGTCCTCGTTCGAGTAAAGGCCATTCGTCCCTCCTAGAAGGTTTGACTGTATCGCAGCCCAGCAGTTTATATCCGTATACCCGCTAATATGTCTATTTTTTGCTCCCTTCTAACATCTGTCACTTATCAGGCAAATATATTTTAGTCTTCTGTCTCTTCTATCCCTCTTAGGAAGTTATGGATGACCTTGGGTTGCCTGAAGACTATCAACCACCAGAAGTACAACCTGTTACCCCTCCACTTGTCGAAGACTTCGAGATACCCTCAGACGAGGAGCTAATTGAGGAACAGGGAGAACTCGAGGACAACTTTGTAGAACTCGCGGGTGGTCCTCACGTGCGTTCTGATCATGAGGAGGAGGAAGAAGAGGACGCCTACCACCCCTCCAGCTCGCAGTTCAAAAAGCCCGCCCCTCCCTCCGTCTTGGGGCAAACGTCAAATCTACATATTAACAAAGTTAAAATGATGGAACGGTTTCTATTTGGTGCTGAATCAGCAGACACGGATTCTTTTGCCCTTGACCATATGGCAAGTAATCAAGATGCGGCCGCACCTTCGACCACCACAGCGTCTGTTCGCAAGGGTAGGCCACTGAATGAACAGGAGGAACTTCTTGAAAAACAGTTTGACAGGGTAAGCTGGGTGGGTCGTAACACATTCCCACAAAACCGTCCTCGAGGCAGTCTTTGATAGCTGGTTGAAGTGCTCATTGTGGATACTGTTTTGCAACCGAAAGTTCTCAATCCTTGGGTAGCATCGCCTAAACGATTTTTCGCCCTGTGTAAAACCTTTAAGAATACGTCTTTAGTAGCGTATATTTTTTATTCCTGAGCCTGCTTCCTCGTTTAGCTCCTTAGGAAGTCCAAGTCCCGGACAGGATACGATGGTCGGTCCATTATGTCTGGCGCATCTGTAATGAGTGAGAGCCTCCAGTCAGCCGTTCAGGGAGATGAACTTATGCTACGGAAAAGGTTGGATTTTTTCGTTCTTCTGCCTTTTATCTTCTAATCAAGTTGACCAATAGTGCCATCGTATGATTTCACTGCAAGTATTTCTCAGCCATTAGTCACACTAACGTCGACATTTTTAGAGGAGTAATTATGCGACGCATTGCGCCACGTTAGCAGCCTTTAGTCGTCAATACTCTCTAAACTTGAATTGAGGATGCTCATTTATGTAGCATGCACTTTGTCTTGTCATCCGCAGCTGTGCACAGCGGTATTATGTTTCCACATTGTACGCTCTTTGAGAAAACTACTAAAGCATTATTACTATTATTATTATTATCACTAGCTGAGTCAGCTTGGCCTCTAGTATGTCAACAAAATGTAATATCTGGACTTTGTTGACAAGCAACTGAACAGGCCGGCCCATATCTTTACCGCTGGTCGTTTGTACTTCCCGGTTTTACTGTCGTTATTGTTATTTGTCATGACTGCGAAGAGTCGACTGATATCCTATAACATGTTGAATCTGGCAGTCTCATTGCTGTCTTTCTCGATTACAACGTTTTGAAATTTCGACATACATCCCTGATTGACTTTAGGTGTCCCAAGAATGACGATTTGGGCGAACTGGATTCCGAAGCAAAGTCTGCAACCTTGAGGTATGTAGCTGAGCTTCCTGAACACAATGACGCAGTGGATCCCCTTCAGCAGTGGATTGGTCCCCCCAAGCCAGACGTGGGCTCCGCAACTTCTCCAGGTTTGTTAGTGAAACCGTGCATTCTTTTTTCCCTCCAAATTAAATGCCTTTTACCACCAGTGTACAATGGCGTCGAATTTACTGTTTGTGTGGAATTTAATCGTTGAAAAATCGCACGATAAATTAGAAAACACTTTCACTCTATGCGTTCTATACAACATCGCCTGTTTTATAAGCGGATCACCCGTAGACTGGTCTGGAGCTCTCATGGACGCTCACACAACATAAGTTCGTGTCTCATCTGACAAGGTGTTTGTCTCAATAACGAAATCTAGGTTCAGAATGGCTGGTGTTCCGTTCCAAGGTCGGAGTTTAGTTTACCGATTATTGCGAATACAAATAAGGCAGAAATATCAACTGCAGTCCTCCTTCCTTCTACTTCTCTTCATTCTTTTAAAAGGCTATGTATTATTCATACTTTGTTCAGTCAATTTTTTAGACGCCAACTATTGGAGGATTCCGTCGTCAAATTATTACTACTTAGGAACTTGATCACAAGAAAACCCAGCTGACATAAAAGACGTAAGCCATGACGTAAACACCGAACATATGTAGAACGGAATACTGGCATGTACAAGGGGGACTGGAGTGACCATTTTGACTTATTATCCGTTGTTACTGCTGTGAGGCCAGTATGTCCCGTAACTGGGTTGTTGTAAACCGTCTAGTGCTAGTTATTGATTCCGAACCCCACCGACAGAACAAGATGCCCGTGGCCCCATGGCAGAACTTTGGACAGAAGATCCAACAAGCCCAGTTCGGCTTCGAATAGCAAGACTTGCAAACCCGGGTTGGTGCATGGCCAGCTGACGAGAGTAGCTAAGAAGTCAGGACTGACCATCCCTGTGTCTCTTGTCTTTGTCAGTACTCCTCCCCGCATAATTCGCTATGCGACTGCCTTCGAGGACTCTAAATGGAGCTTCAAGGTGCAGTGGGACAGGCCGCCTCGCAACCTGGTGACCGTCTACACTAATCGTACATTTTTATTACTGTCTCCCTCATGACTTATTTCTTCACTAAATACCAATTTATCGCACTCATTTGCTTTTTTGAATAAGTGTGTCCCTCCGGCGATGTGATCCAACCTCCTCTCCTGCAGCTACCCCGCAAGTCTGGGAGCAAGAAGTCCGATCCCTCCAGACATGAGGCCACCTCTTCCTTGGACGAGTCCGACGAAGAGGATGATAACGAGGACGAGACCCTTCCCATGCCTGTTCCGTTGGCAAGAATGAAGAATGAGACGCCGGAGGAACGAAGAGCCAGGAAAAATGCGCTCAAGACCTATAGGCGGGAAAGGAAACAGATTAAAAAACACAACAAGCTGAACTTCCGTAAAGATCTCTTAAATGCCAAGGCCACCGGCCAGATCCGAATATCACACCTAGAGTAGACGGTCTTCCACAGTGCTTTCCCAAACCTTCCTCTGATGTACAAACACGGGTTTCACCAATCCTCTCTCCCTTTTCCTATTGACATTGATTTGCCAGCGTCTTTGCTGTTACCTTGCGCTTCGAAGAACTTCGTTAACGGATACCCCTAGCTTACTACAAGTTCTCGTGTTTAGGCGCAGTAAACCGTGTCTAAAGATAAAACAGCTCAGTCTTTGACCTTGCTTCGTAAAAACCAATTCCTAACCAAGGCAGCACGTCTTTTTGAGCCAATTTTCTTGTTTTAAGGTTTTAAGTGACCTTTGCTCCTTACCAGCTTTTTGGGCAGTTTAACTCAATAAACGGGTTAAAGATTGGCAATAAGGACGCTGGGAAGGCGGTTTTTAGTTCAGACAAAGCTTCCGCCGTGGTTCGTCTTTTTGGATGTATGCGATTGGTCGACCGTCACGAACGACGATGTCCGCCGTGTGGCCCGCATCATGCTGGGCGCTAGGACGGTGGCTTGCGCTTGAATTATTTTATAGCGATAGTAGACTTGTGCTGCACCCCTTTCCCTCACCACTCCTGGAACTGATATCTAGCCAGAGTCAAGGAGACGCGAGGCGAGCTCGGGTGCAGTGCTTGAGAGAGCTAAACAATCCGCCTACATGCGCCTGGTCCGCGCACGATGGACCAGTTTTCACGGGAACAGTAAAGGGGCGGCTTTGATCCCAACTGAGTGCGAGTGTCACAGAGGCCATTTCAGGAAAGAGCTGTTGCAACTTGACTCTCTGTCCTAAGGGGAGCTTCCCGAGTCACGGCTTTTAGCACACCGTGACAGTTTACAAGCTCGTCGGGTCGTTTACGGCGAGAAATATGCTCTGAGTGCCGTGTGGTCGCAGTACCCAGGGTCGTCGTCATCCTCCCAGGCACCAGTCCACTTTGTGGACCGGTTAACCATCTGATGTGGTGATTGGGCGCCGCTGGCTGACACGGCGTGGACTGGCGCCTGGGCGTGTCGCCACACCTCCCACCATGTGTGGCATTTGTAGATACGCAGCCCGGGTAACGCGTTTCGTGGTTGGGCATAAGCGCAACACCGGCCAACGCAGCCTACTAGTTTGTTTGGCTGTCCCCTAGGCTTGCTTCACCGGCTCCCACTCGCATGATGCTTTAAGAAATTTAGCCGTGGTGTTGTGGACGGCCCGATCCGCGGTCTCTGCGTTTGTGTGGTTCTGTCAACTGTTGAACATGAATTGAGTCTGTTGCTATTTCGCTGGCTAGAACTTGTCGGCCTCTAACAGGAATAGATAATCCGTTTCTTGTGTCTGTGACGCCAATTATGCTGCACTCAGAAGCTACTTACTATCCACGTTCTTCTGTCCTTTCATTTTCCAACGTTAAACTATCTGTACCGTGAGCCATCCATGTCCGAATCCGTTACACGTTTTCTTGCAATCTAGTGTCACGGTGGCTTCCTTTTCATGCCCTCCGCCTGCCGAGTTATCAACTGTATTTGCCTTGCTTAGCATGCATGCGAATTGCAGTCTCACTTATTCGGTCGCCTGGTAGTGATAATTTCTGACGCATCCCTCAAGATATCCGTCATTCATTCTCGCACAGTCGGAATAATTGACCATTCCCATCCATGGCCTCGGCGGTAGACACTTCAATTTCGGATATCAAGGAACACAACACGAAATGAGGATGTTACTGTGACCGACTTTCATCATTTTACTCCCCTCCTTTGCTTAAGGGTTCAGATAACTCGCCAGGATGGCTCCCGTCAGTTCTCTCTATTCCGGACACGTTGGCCCGCGGCCACTCAACTGTCTTTAGCACAGACACGTGCACCCAGTTGGCCACTGGCAGTGGTAGCCTAGCTCCGCCATACGCAGGAAAGAGATTGATGCCACAGACTCATTCTTACCCTCAGGCGTTAATTAACACTGTCAGCACGCATTCTAATCTTACAAATGGTCACTGTCACCGTAGGCAGCTGCTCGGGGTTTATGTACACAGTTGTTCCTTATTCTAGCGTCCTTCTTCTCCTGCTAGTCGAGACTTGGCCTAATGCCTGCAGCGCTTTTGACGTGCCCAATATTCGTTCCACCAAGTCGCCCTTCCAATAACCGGGCGCGAGGATGTAGCCATCTCGCATGTGTAGGGCACCGTATTTAGAAAATAAGGTGTTTTACAGTTTTGTCGCAAACCACTGTCGGCACTGACTGTACTATCGATGCGGGTTTGGCATAGGGTCCCTCTGCGTAGATACGGTTTTCAATTCTTCGTGGGGACTGGGACAATGCAGATGAGGGACGCAGAGTAATGCGGGTAGTTGAGTCATGTAGTTAACCCTCGTGCCCGTAAGTCCGATGGTAGAAAAAGAGTTCGCCATCGCAATATGTGAGGATTTCCCTTAGCTAAACCAAATAGACTATAGAGGGCAGATTCCTGAAAGACGGTGTCCGTGGGCGTCAGTTATATCCTTTATAAAATCACAGATCAGAATGCGAGCGGCCTCGAGCAATCAGCATGACAGCTTAATTGTTACGTCCTCACAGCTTTGGCTTCGAATTAGGTGTTAATTCGTTTCCTCTTACTGGGAAAACCCGCGATCCCCGCAAGTTAACCAAGTGCCATTTCATGCCATGACCACGCATCGCCACCGTGGAGTATTTTCGGACTATGCCCGCCGTTGTACAAAATCACGTTGACGGTTTACTGAGAGGCTAAATCAGCCGCGAATGTCCGCTTTGCGTGTCCGCCACTGCCTCCTGAAGAATCTTTCTCGATACGACATGGCTGCCGCGCTCTTCTTTGATTTCTTTACGAGGCATGATTCAACTCGGGCATTATGGTCACGCCGTGCAACTTTAGGCCAATAGGTTTGAGGATACCCAAAAAGGTTACGGACGTTGGAAAAAATAGATTGCCTTAAAACGGAATCGGTTTAGTGAATTATCCTCCATTTGACTTCGAGTAAAACCGCCGTTGGGCTTCTGTATAGAATAAGCGCCTCCTACTTGTAGCCCCCCCCCCCTTCTCGTATACAGGTGGACGTCGGAATGGTGATGGCCTACTTGCAGCCATTATTTCAGTCGCCATAATCTAGCACAGTCCATGTGTTTGCTACTCTCTACAGTCGGCCTCAATAAGTGTTCTGTGGAACAATGGTCATACCGACCGACAAGCACAATGCATACCAAGCTCCGCCCACGACAAGTTTTTCGGTAGCGCATCTGGGTTTTTGAGTCGCCTTGCGAGTTTTAAGAGGCCAACACTAATAATTAAGAATTGCAACTGTTATCTGATCTGGAAATTAATCAAAGTAACTAGTACTAAGCTACTTTGACCAATTTCAGAGTTGAGATGCTGCGTTGTCTGAGTGCAAACTCGGTTAAGTCGTACTTTCACTTCTGGGGCTGTTATACTGACTAGGACACTATGCATAGTGAAGAGCACAGAAAATTTTGTTATCCATCCCAGGTACCATGTCGAATAAGATAACTGCTGACACTACTAGACAGTTCGACTCTCGTTGTCGACGATGTCCGCAGTGTGCTCCACAGCAAGGGGAAAGCAGGGACAGTGAGTTACGCGTGAATTCGACTATAGTGATGATAAATCTGCTCTGCATCTACCGCACTCTCTCGTCCCCCACCAGGACTCGGTCTCAGGGCAGAGTCAAGAAAGCGGGATACGCGAGAGGGTGCAGGTGGCTTGCACGACGTGAACCCCTGGTCCACAACGCGAAGGGGGAGGGCTCGGATCCAAACTCTGTGGGAGTGCCATTAAAGGCCACTTTGAGAAGGAGCCATGACAACCTGACTCTCAGTCCATCAGTCGGCCATGCCGCACAAACACACCGGGCTGACTGCGAGGCCTGAGTTCAATCTTCAGTTGGGGACCTTCCAAACCACGATGCTTAGCGCACCATGATAGTATTAGGCTCGGATCATACTTGCGACCTTCGACGCGGTGGATTGCTCAGGATAGCCGAGTTTCTGCATGATTTTCCGCAGTTTATTAAGATTCACTGTGTCGAAGGCTTTCGTCAGATCCAAAAATGTCGTGTAGGAGTGGGTTCGCATCTCCTGGCACTTTTGTTGTAGCTGATGTGCGGCGGAAAACATGTGAGTGGTTCCGCGGTGTCCTGGAGGCCACATTGGCTCTCCAGGTGGCTGCTAAGACGATTGAGAAAAGGGCGAGCGAAGATCTTTCCGGTGACGCTGACAAGCGAGATACCTCTGTGATTATTCCAGAGCTGCCGGTTTCCTTATTGCTTGTAGGAATGGACGACTGTCACGCCCTTGAAATCCTGATGACCGTTCCCTGGCACCACAGCGGGAAGAGCGTTGTGAGGTGATTCATCAATCGGTGGCCCGATGGAGAGTTGCCACACGGCCCCGGTGGTTTCTGTGAGGGCGGTAAATTCAAGACGATGTTGATTTCCATTTTGGGGAGCCAGTCGATGGCGTCAGCAGAAATGCTTGACGGGCGATTAAGGACGCCTCTGAGGTCCTCGGCCCAGCGCATCAAAATCTGCGACTTCTCGGTTAGAGCAGTTGCTCCGTCGGTGCTAAAAAGCGGGGCGGTTCTTTTGGCTGTGGGTTGCTGGTAAGAAATTTCTTGGTTCATTGCAGTTCGCGCAACCTTGGATCTCCTCGGCCTTGCGAGCCATCTAGGTGCCTTACATTTTTCGCAGCCGCTGCTGCACAAGGTTGCAGCATCAGTAGAAGGCCGCTTTGATTACATCAGTTTGGTGGTCAGTGTGGGCTCTGTGTAACCTGTTTTTTTCGGTGAGCAGGTTACTGATGACTGCGTCGTTTTCGTCAAACCAGTCTTGGTGCTGACAGCGTGCGCGTCCGTGGACATTCATGGCCGTCGAATTGACGACGTCCCGCATACGGTACCATTGAGTCATCACGGAGGCGTTTTCATCTGGAACTTGCAGGCATTTCACTCGCCCGACAACTTTATTGCTGAAGTGGACAGGCAACAAAGTAGGATTAAACTTACCTTGTAGCCTCCTGTGAGGTTGTGCTTGGAGACGAAGAGGCGGTGGCCCTTCCAGCCATCGGCCTAGCAGATCGCCTCGGTCACCAACACGTCTTGTCGATCTCGCCGCCGGACAAGAAAATGGTCCAGCAGCTACCGGCGCTGCGATCGGAGGTCCATCCAGGTTGCCTTCTCCCGCGTCGGAAGGCGTTGATCAGCAGAAATCGATGTTCCGCGTGGGCTCATAGAAGAAGGAGACCGTTTTCGACACAGCTGCCGATTACGTGGGGAATTAGCACTACTTCCCAGACAGCGTGGATAGTCCCGACGCGGACGTTGAAGTCACCAAGGACAACCAGTTAATCCCCTTCACCACCAGGGGTAAATAGTATTATCCCTAAATTGGGCTGCCTAGACATCGCAGACGGCTGCCAAACTCCACTATGGGTCACGACGGTCTTTAGTGGAGAGTGGTCTGAGTTAGCCTCGGCCGCCTACGGGGTTGCATGTCGTCCTCTTCGCAGGACTTTTTGAAGTGGGGGAGGTAGGAGTAAGGGAAGAGAAGTAATGCAGAGTTACCATGTACGGGGGCACACAACACCGGATATTTTCACCTGGTTCAGCCCGCCGGTCAAGGCGGTTACCGGTATGTGGTTGCTAGGAAGAGTCTACTTTCAAAGAGCCACAGTTGACTGCCAGTTAATGGACGTAAGGTGCAGTCATCACCTGCACAAGACAAATGATGCGACCTACTACGACACTCACGTGGAGCCCATAGGAGGACACTCATCCATCGCTACAGCACCCCAATGAATAACTGGCCATAAGAACCCATGCCGCGGGTAGTATATACACTTTCTCCAATTTTCGCCCCTAATTTGAAAACCAAGCCTAGTTCTTTTTGTCATGGTCAGGGCGAATATGTTTTCAAATAACTCAGCAGGAGACCATAAACAGGAAAGACCAATATCCATCCGAAAGTCGGTATCCTGATACATTAATAGTAAAAAAATCTGATAGAAGGCCCATCTGATACCGTTTTATGATATACAAATGGAGGGCTTACAGACTGCACTGCTTACATAATGGACCTGCGAAAGTGACTCCGCCGTACGCCTCTCTTTTAATAGTACTTCCCCTATAACGTTTCTTCTATACTCATGTGTTAAGGGCGTGCTATCGGGGCCAAATACTTTCGCTGTTATCCACTTCATCTTTGTATCACGTTATGTGAGACATATGTATCAAGCGTCACCTTAGAAAGTGGACTGGTTCACAATTTCTAGCTCATTTACGTAAGGGTGAAATAAAAACGAAATTCCAGACCACATGTCCTACCAAATCCTAAATTTATCTCCATCGTACTGTTCGCGCCCGTTATCTCATCGCACTTCAAACCCCATTCACTAGTCTGGTCACCCTTCATCTCTTGGGTAATGCTGTTCTTAAGATATCTGGCGACAAAGAACTCGAACTCGCTTTTCTTTTGGTCAGCACAGAAGGTTTCCCTGGCGCACTGTCTTTAGTTACATGCATTACGTATCATTCAGAATGGCTTCAATCCTTCAAAGTGCAGAAATACGACAAAAAAGGAGGAGGAGGAGGAGGAGGAGGAGGAGGAGGAGGAGGAGGAAGAGGAAAAAGAAGCAAAACAACTCCCGCTGAGATGTTCCTTTTGGTATGGCTTATAAATGACAGATTTCGATTCTCCCTCATCCTGGTCCGATAGAACATCGCGTACCACGGACACCAATAGCGAGTTTAAGTTTGAATGACGAGAAGACAGAACTGAAATAGAAGCATCCATCGGGATAAGGTGCACAACCCTTTGATAGTAAGCGCTCCTCATAGCCAAAGCACGTAATTTACGTTGGTTTATAGGCACAAGAAAGCTTATCAGATAGGAAAACTGATGAGCGTCGTCATGTCCAGTTATAACCTGATTACCGGTGGTTGGTGACAAGACTGTTGTTATGTGCGTGCAAATGCTGACACGCACAGCGATACAAAACCCGAGTGGCTTTTCCGCTGTAACGATATCTAACCTAAGACTCACCATTTTTCTGGATTGCAGGCTATGTAGCGGTTGAGATAGCGGTTGTGGCTTGGAAAACCGGAATCACCAGGCTAATTTCCCATTAGCAGGACTAACAGGAAACACCAGAGCGAGGAATTTATTGTGCCCAAGAATCCAGCGTTTTTGGCCGTTGGGATGCCCTGGGTCGTTACCGACGGTGATAAGTCGTGCCTGGATGAGTGAGACAATGATGTTAGTTGCCTTTACAGGTCTGTGGGAACAAGTTCAACTGTCTGCGTCCAAGTGGCGTGTGTTGCTTAGCTGAGAGATGAGGTGATCAAGTGGAACATGGACGACTGTAACTGTCCTGGCGCTCTTGTGCACGTCCAAAAACGCTTACTGCGAATGTGAATGATCTTTACGCAATAGGACATTTAACAAAGTCATCAGGTCTCGTAATGATGACTGTCGGCTTCAATTAGATGGGTCATCGCTACTTACCTCGCATGCCCACGAGTTACCTAAGTACTTGATGTCTTGTCAGACAGGTACGCAAGATACTTTCTAGGAAGGCTGATCTTATTCTTGCCATATTTTTGCCGTTTCCCGAACGAGCCATCTCTAACGACATTCTTTTATTTTCACTAACGCCATATGGCAATACAAAACCAAACTGTCCCATCTCATAAACCTAATAACGAAGAGAGGTGCTATTGCCTTTTTTGATTGTCATTTGGAAAGGCGAATCATGTAAATTTCTCCGTGTACATTATTGCAGTTCATTGTGAAAAATAAATCTCCTTTGCTTAAGCTCGGTCTGTGGTCTGATAAAGTTGGGAGTGAAACCTATAGACCTGCTCATTTTTAGATAACTAGTTTATGTGCATAATATGCGTATTGTGTACGCTCTCTGTCTGATTTCTCTACAGCCTCCATTGGGATTTCGGAATAAATGCGCGAACATTCCCGAGTAAGACCTAGGATAGCGTCTAAACTTGGGAGGATTTTCCATTCTCATAAGCCGCCATGGGGGTGAGAAAGTAACAACTACTATTAAATTGAGGAGGAGTGCCGTTAAGAAAAGTAAAAAATCTCGCGTATCGAGAAGTATTTCCCAAATTTCTCCGAAACAAGTACCTTTGTGCAGTGCAGAACTGTCCTTTGGCCGCGCCTTTAACGCCATTAACGGGTGTGGTCCGCCTTCCTCTTTCCTGCTAGTATGATTTTGAAAAAACGCAGTCTGAGCTGCAGGCCTTAACCGTTTACTTTCCAATGTAAGTGGCCACCCAATTGGGAAAGATTAGGAGGTCTGGGCGGGATTCAAATCCCTGACAGAATGGGCAGAGCTTGAGCTCGAATTCTTTATACGTAGGTATTCAGATGAATTATTCAAACACATCAAAACACCCATTAGCTCGTAAAGTGTCAAAAACAGAATGCGTGGAAGAATGCATCATCCCAATTCATTCCCAAGTATAATTATGTACTAGTGAAGAAAAAGAATGTTCAGGCATTGGAGTAGACTGTTTATTGTTCTTGTAGTATCTCGCGAATTCGGGGAGAGTACTGCAGGTAGATCACTCGGTTCTGAGAATAGCTTTCTCTTCTTGGACAGCGATTCAGAGTCGGAAGTATTCGAACCTAAGATATCCATTACGCAGGCATTCGCATACAGTCA